TACATGATTTACACCCTTTGTTATTGTAATGAAGGATGCCGAGTTGATATCCATTTTCTTGTGTGTACAATCTTTGTATTGTTTATATTTCACGTAAACACAAAACCCCCGTTCTCCATTCCTCTTCCCGCACACACGCCCAACGCTCGCCCTAAGCACGGTCACTTGAACGTGAACGACTCGCCATCAAGGTGTCTGTATGACTGACCTCCCCAACGGGTGGACGGCTAGATGCATGCGGCAATGTGTGACTGTATTGAGTTTATCTTCTTTGGTTCTTTCGGTAAAGTCACGTAGAATGAGAATAAAATAATAAATTGATAAAATAAAAGAACACAATAATATTCTCACGACGAAACGTCGTGAGAATATTATTGTTATTTTATTTTATCAATTTATTATTTTATTCTCATTCTACGTGACTTTACCGAAAGAACCAAAGAAGATGAATCATTGCAGTCACGAAAGCTTTAAATCGAAATTGTATTGAGTTTGTGTTTACATTATCACACGCGAAAACAACAACAACTGCCATTCGCCACTAAGTGGCGGTGACGTCACCACGACGCTTGTGCCAGGCCATGTGCACCTTGAGGCCACGTGAAGTGGCGAACGCCCGCTGGCAGGAGGTCACGGGGCAGACCCAGGTGCCACGGATCGACTGACTGAGATGACTGGCTGATGCACCACCTGTGCCCCCTACTGTGCCAATCTGCTGTGCTTTAGCCACCCGGCGCTCCGCTCGTTGTTATGAGCGTCGCTCCTCCGCCCTCCGTTGTTGTTGGAGGGCGACTGCCTCCAACTGCCCAGTAGCAGCATCCTTCACGATCCTCCTCCACAGAGGCCGATCTTGACACCGCTGGTACCAATCATCGGCAAGTCCACTCAGCTCCACGTCCTCCTGTACCACATCACTCAATCTCTTCTCTAGCCCGTGCCGCGCCCGTTTAGCCCCCTCAATCCGGCCGAACAAAAGCTGTTTCGGCATGCGGTGGCTGGGCATGCGGGCTACATGACCCAGCCAACGCAGCCTTGCCTGCCGGAGGAGCTCACCGATGGGACCTTGCCCAGATCTTTCAAAGATTTGTGAGCTCCTCACACAATCCAGCCTGGTTAAACCCAGGATGGATCGTAGGCAGGCTAGCCAAAATTTTCTAACCGGCGAAGATGTTCCATTAGGGGGGTCCACGTTTCGCAAGCGTAGAGAAGGGAGGGAATGACCGTGGCCGAGAAGACCTGAAGCTTAGTGCAGAGCGACAGACCAGGCAGCTTCCACACAGCGTTACGCAACCGATGAAAAGATATTGCCGCTTGACTGATTCGGAGTGAGACCTCTGCTGTTAAACTGGAGCCGGTCATAAGCACACTGCCCAGGTATGGGAAACTCTCCACTCTCTCCACAACTGCCCAATCACCGATTGGGAGTTGTGGGGATGGAGTGTCCGATGTTACAAAATACCCAGGCAGATGCTTAGTTTTGGTGGGGCTGATGGTAAGGCCCCATCACTTAGTGGCACGCTCCAGTCTCAGCAGCAGCGTCTCCAACTCCCCCTCTGAATGAGCAGCTATTACTAAATCATCGGCATACATAACGTGGTTGAGCAATAGGGAGCCATCCCTTGACCGCACCCGGGCATCGATCAGCCTCCCATTATATCTGTACTAAATGGAGATTCCCCCGGTACAGCTATTGAAGGCTTCACGAACTACGTGGTCAAAATAGATGTTAAATAATGTGGGAGCCAGAGGACATCCCTGTCGCACCCCAAGGTGTACAGGGAATAGCTCTGACTCCCAGCCACATAGTTTTACCCGGGCCCGCTCACCATCATGAAGGTCCTTAATGATCGTGAGCAGAGGGTCAGGGACTCCAAAAGCACGAAGAACAACCCAGAGCCCAGGCCTACTGATGGTATCATAGGCCTTGAGCAGGTAAATAAAACAGAGATGTAGGTCTTGCTGGAATTCCCTACACCTCTGCTGTAGCAGACGGACAGAAAATATGGCATCTGTGCAGGACCACCCTTTCCTGAAACCACATTGGGGCTCCGCAAGCCTCTCCTCAGCGTGTCTGGCAAGGCGATGTTGAATAATCCTTGCCAGGACCTTTCCTGGCACACTGAGGAGTGAGATTCCCCTGTAGTTGTTACAGTCTGTGCGGTCCCCCTTCTTAAAGACAACTCCTGTTCACAAGCCACCTGTTTGTTAAAAAAAACACCAGTTTAAACAAAAAGGGGGACCACCAGGGCATCCTTCCAATCCTGCGGAACCCGTCCAGTGGTCCAGACTGTTGTTATGATGTCATATAGGGCAGTCTGTGCACAAACGCCACCCTCCCTCAGCATTTCGCTTGGGAGATCATCTCTGCCCGCTGCCTTTCCTGGTCTCAGACTACGGATCGCCTTCAGTACTTCCTTAACAGATGGCACTTCAGCCAGCCACTCACAGGGGGTGACTTCTTCCAATATTTGAGGCACCGCAGCCTCAGCAGGGTCATCCCCACTTTGTGCCACGATGTTTTCCTGGCTGAGGGATTTCCCCTCCCCCAGGACCTCACAGAAATGCTCAGCAAATCTGCAAAGCTGTTCCTGGGGGTCAGAGATTGGATCACCGTTTTTTCCCCTAATGATGGTAATAGGTGTGGCGCTGCAGATTACTTTTTTGATGGAGATAAATAGAGATTTGTGATCGCGGGCCACTGAGGCAGACTCCATCTCCTCAGCAACCCGCGACCACCACCCATCCTTGCAGCGCCTCACGGCTCTCCGAACCTCCGAGCGAAGGCTGCGGTAAGCCTCCTCATTATCTGACGTGGGATTCTGTAGCCGATGACAGTGGGCCTGTCGCTTTTTCTCAACTATCCTGAACACCTCCTCTGTCAGCCAAAGTCTCTGGGGAGGTCTGGACCGCGTACCCAAAGCAGCCAATGCAGCTGCATGAGTGACAGTCCTAAATCTCGCCCATTTACCCTCGACATCAGGAGGAGTGGGGGACGATGCCAACCCCAGCTGCAAGCGATGATGCAATTCTCACTTGCAACTTTCATCAGATAACTGAGACCAGGCCATTTTAGGTTGGAATGGGGTCCTGGGTGTACACCCACCACCGGAGCGGAAGAATGGCAGGCGCATCTTACAGATGACTAGTCGATGGTCAGAGGGCAGATCAGCTCCACAGTAGGTCCTGGTGTCAAGGACATGGGCTCGCATCCGCTGGTCCGGCACTTTGTAGTCCAGCAGATGTTCTTGCTTGGACCCGGCATGCATCCATGATGTTGTGTGGATGCGCCAATGCCGGAACAGCGTGTTGTTAATTACCAAGCCCATGGGCTGCACAAAAATCTAGCAGTCTCCTACCGTTGTTATTGAGCTGATCTGTCCCATGCCCTCCAATCACTCCAGACCAGGTGCCAGCATCATGACCAACTTGGGCATTGAAGTCACCCAACAAGATGACTCTATCCCGAGGGGCCACTTTAGCCAGCACCTGTGACAGGAGGTCATAGAAGGCATCTGACTCATCGGCTTTGCCTGCATCCCTCCACGGATGTTCGTCTTCAGTGGGGGCATAAGTAACCACGACCACCACTCCTCGCCTCCGGTTGATGGGAAGGCGAGCTCAAAGTAGCCTGGGGCTTACAGCTCCCCACACCTCACCGCCACGCTCCCACGCCCCCTTTATTCTTATGTTCAAAAGAAGAGCCACACCCTGTTGTTTGGCAGTCTGCTGCCCCGAGTAGAGGACTGTCCACCCCTCATGGTGGCAGGAGCCAGAACCGGTCCACCGGACCTCCTGAATGCCACATAGATCCAGGCGGTACCGGTCCAGCTCCCGACAGAGGAGTGGCAGCCTCTCCTCCGCAGTGAGCGTTCGAACATTCCGCGTGGCCACACGAAGTGGCTTTTTGTTGTTTCTGGAGGAGCCCCGAGGGTAGAGATTCAATCTCCTGCTGGCTCCGCCAATTTGGATTTGGCCAGGAGACGTCATAGATGCCTGTCCCCCCGGGGCCTCTGGCACAAGCTTATTAGTTAAATATTTTAGACGTGGTTTAGTGGTAAATTTTTGAAGGTGGAGGGGTTACCAGCCCCTCGCACCCGTCCAGAGCCCCCGTTTAGCCCGTGGTGGTCACAGACGCCATGAGGGGAGGAGCCAATCGGAATTGGCCCTCCCCCCACAGCACTGTCCACCACAGAGTTGCCCGTCCGGCACCGCGAGGAGGTAGGGGGTTGTTTTGTCGGACGCGAAAACGCACACTAAAACATACATCGTTTTTAAATCGTTCTCATGGTCGATCATTGACACCTCCCAATGGATGCAGCACTCTCACGGCACGACTTGTCAACGCGGAGATGAGAATCTTAGCAGCGTCAAACCGCGCACCGCCGAAACATCACCCAAGTGTTCAGGAACACCGAGCTCATTAGATAAAACGTGTATAAGTAATAGTCCAAACATGCATTCGATAAAACCACGTTGGACAACGTTTTCTTTGTACTTTAAACAAAATAATAATTGGTGTCGCGTGGAGAACACTAAACGCAGATATGCAATGTCTCTCCATATATACGTACGTAAGCATTGGTCTATTTTATTGAACGGACTGACATTATTTGCCCATTCTGCTTTTAATGAGACTCAAATGTAAGTACAAGAGCTCCTGTGTGCAGCACATCTGTGGTGGCCGAGTGTCATGCAATGGAAATCGCGATGCCTCCCTCGGTCCTTGCCCAGCTCGGCAACAGATTTGATGGCACTCCTGGTTTTACAAACTAGTCGACTGATTTCTAAAGATCAGAAACAAAAGCAGAGGCGGGGGCAGCAGGGTTGGTCGTCTTATCTTGGTGCTCGTTATTACGTTTCTGCTACTCGGTAAATGTCGCATTTTCCCCTGAATTGGTAGCAAGCACATAATATATTGTCAATAGTGGAAGGACATTATGTTGTGCCTCATCTTTAGTGAATTCTGGCGGTGCACACAGGAGACACTACCACACACTCCCGTCGTTCTACCCCACTTTATTCGCAATCGCGCTGGAAAACAAATCAGTGGAGTCACAACACGGTACATTAAAAAGGACTCTTACGGTAATTTCAGAACAGTGACTCTCAGGCTCCAATATTGGACCCCCCCCCCCACACTGCCAGATTGTTTACAAAATAACCTCATTAATTAAATTTATCTGACAAATAAATATGCAAACAACTGGTTATTCCACGAAACATGCAAACTCTTCAGGATTCCGTTATTGTGGTGTTTTTACGTATACTTAAAACTTTGGAAATCACAGCTCAGCAATTTGACATTTAAATAATACTTTACATATTTCATTAACACTTACATAGCACTGAATGACAATAATCGATCAACAACAGCTGGCCAATTAGTTACAACTTTCAACAAATTTACCAAAGATAATTCACAATACTAAAGCAGGAATTGTGTTAACACCATTGTTTTAACACCTGGGATTTCGATAAACAGACTAATACTGGATGCACATGGACAAAAAGTTGTTTGAAAATGGGTATAAGAAGTAACATTTGGTGCCATATGAAAACCTAACAGTGTTACAGGAATAAAACACTTGTAACCGAACTACACTGCCTGTCCAAGTGCCCGCAATGTTAATGGTGATGTCAGAGTGCACTGACCACTAATTAGCTAATAAAAAGTCATACAAACCCAAATCTCGCAGTCAAACTACATATTTGATACAAATATCTGTCAACGTGACAGAAATGTAATCATTACACATCAGTGCAGATTATTTAGAAGCTCTCTCTTTCACTTAACATGGGTTTGTCGACCTCGTGCTTGCTAGCTGTCCGGGGACCACATGCAGCAGAAACCCCGGGTCCGAAATCTCACGCATAACAAGAGCCTCCACAATGGTATAGACCAATAATACACACACACACAGTTACACAGTTACACAAGCGCACACGGACGGGTCATTTACTCAAGATGTCCCATTGCGTGCAGAGGTGGATGGGATTTAAATCACCTCCCCCGTCCCCCACCGCAATGGACCCCGAGATAGCAACGGGATAAAAATGGTTGTCTATTCGATGCGAAGGGTGAAGTTGTCTGGGAATACGCCCTTGTGGCCCTCAAGGACCTTGTGAGCGATCCAATCTGCCTCCTTGATGCCTGCGAGCCAGCCCGAATCCTGCAAGGGGCACAGGGGGGAGAAGCGCATGCGCCGTCGCGTCAGTTATTCGCCCCCGCCAATCTTCCAGGACGAGGAGAGCAGCGCACCTTTAAATGCAAGCAGCGGCCAACTCTTGATTGCGAACGTCGTTCCACCAAAAGGGTGGTTGGGATGCACGCAGATGCACAGCTGCAACCATTGGGGGGAGAGCCATTTCATTTGTGGAAAGGATGTGCCATTCGCACGCACGGAACTATCATCGTGCGGGCTTCTGTTTGTCTATCACATTAAGTTAAATTATATTTTGTTGTGGCACGTTACTGGTATTGCTCATGGCTTAACAGAATGGAAGTGATGTTGTGTAACAGAAGCACATGGGCGTACATAAACTCTAAATTACACAGATGGTGATCTTACGAAATAGCTCCCTTTGCAGGATACTGCTAATTCAATTAATGCAAATGCTTTGGTGCACGGCCAACATTCAATCTATTTAAAACGACCAAATGTGGCACGCATAACTTGAAAAACAGACTTTGGAATATATAGTTACGTGCATGCTGAGTCTCATCAGTCATCATCTATCCACTGCTGGACGAGCCATTGCCATCCCAGCATGGTCGCTGCGATGCAACAATCAATCTAGAATTTGCACGTGTGAATTTCACTGTTCAATCTCTAAGGCAAATGTCCTTGTGGGCATATTCCCTCGTTTGACTGTAACTTCATCATTAATATGGGCCACCAGTCATCATCCCTTCGAGCAACATGTCCTGCCCAAGCCGACTTGCTTTTTAAATTGTCAATATGCCTCCAACTTGCCACATTCTCTAGTACATGCGTTTTCTAATCCAAAGTGCAACTTACTAAAAAATGCATTTATGCTACAAAATGCGAATTGGACAGTGTTTTTTCTAACTCTAAACCACTCACTCCCTGCTACATCTGTCCTTCCCGCACCCTCTCCCCCCCAAGTTCCAGGGTTACATTTAAAGCACTCAACAACTGTGTACAATGTACAAAGAGAGCAAAAGGGAACTTTGCTACCTGCTGCTCAGGGCTTTCAAAGAGCAGGACAAGCACCACTTCGCCACTGCTCAAGCACAACTCATCCGTGTCCACAGGTGTGTAGTCGTGCTGGACCTGCACCTGAGTAGTCACAAGCAGCCGGAGTAGCACAGTCAACATCACCCAAAGTTTTACAAGCTCAACCAAAGCACTTCCACGCACCGATTATTATTTAATTCAACAGTAAAGGTTTTTTTTTTTGCGGTTGTACTGTATAACTTTCAGATGTGTTTTCTGGCTGTCCCCGTGTTGTTTGACAACATGTGGTGATGTGAAAAGTTGGACTTCGTGCCGAACGACATGCAGTAAAACCTGAAAATACATTGGGGAGCTCTACAGTGGCACAATCGCAAAAAAACGTTGCCGTATAGTTAAAATAATAAGCGGTGCATAAAAAGAGATGATTTAACCGTTTTTGGCTAAGCTCACAATTAATGTTTTCCCTAAATACAATAGGATACAGAGCTGATGAATTTGACAATACCAATTTTAATACCGCTCTAGTATTTAGTGATTTTCAATTACGCTTGATTTATTTTTTGCGATGTCATGACATTTAAGTGCCCTATTAATGCAGATCCTTAAATGATCTTTCTTGGGAGTAACGTGGCAGTGGCGGGCTCACTTTACCTTGTACAAGAAACCTGGAGGAAATTCATAAGACTGGGCCGAAGTGGAGACGTTGGCAATCGGGGGACGCTCCGCCGAGACGTTTGCCATGCATCCGAAGCTCGCATCTTTCAGGGTCAGCTCCACTGGCTGGAACACCGAGAGGGGGATGTTACTACGTGGTTCCAATAAGCAGATGTCCATGTACTGCAGCACAAATGGAATATCTTGCATTTCACTTGCAATTACACCAATTTATAAAACGGTCATCTTATGGCATTTTTATGGCATTTTTTATGGTATTTTTACTGGTAGAGTTTAAAATGTAACAACAACGAATGCCTTTGTGATGCAGGTGTGGCACAGCACCATTTATTTACGTATCCTATTGCCGTGTGATGTTCACGTGTGCTGCCCTGGCTGCTCCATTCCTGTTTTCAACTCGGTATGAATGTATTTGACAGTATATATATGCTGTATATATTGTAGATTTAAAGGTTAGCTATGCATGTGTCACTTGACACCTTGGCCAGACACCCTTGCAAATGAGACGTTCCATCAAAGAGATTATCCAAATGAAAAATGTCTATGATAGAATACATATATAAATGTCTATGATAGAATACATATATAAATGTCTATGATAGAATACATATAAAAATGTCTATGATAGACTACATATATAAATGTCTATGATAGAATACATATATAAATGTCTATGATAGAATACATATATAAATGTCTATGACAGAATACATATATAAATGTCTATGATAGAATACATATATAAATGTCTATGATAGAATACATAAATAAATGTCTATGATAGAATACATACATAAATGTCTATGATAGAATACATACATAAATGTCTATGATAGAATACACATATAAATGTCTATGATAGAATATAAATATAAATGTCTATGATAGAATACATATATAAATGTCTATGATAGAATACATATATAAATGTCTATGATAGAATACATATATAAATGTCTGTGATAGAATACATATATAAATGTCTATGATAGAATACATATATAAATGTCTATGATAGAATACATATATAAATGTCTATGATAGAATACATATATAAATGTCTATGATAGAATACATATATAAATGTCTATGATAGAATACATATATAAATGTCTATGATAGAATACATATATAAATGTCTATGATAGAATATAAATGCATAATCTGCTTGCCGTGGCCACCACTTCCACGATGGGCATCTTAGAAGGACAATGTTTGCTTGCACCGTCCAAAGACTGATGTTAAAAAAAAAGGACAGCAGATACATTTTACCTGATTACGAACCGATTTTGCAATACCGAGGGTTGTAAATGACAAGCGCTGAACACTTGTGTTAATCACACGGAATACATCACGACCGATATAGAACGGTTACAGATGGCGTGTGAGATTGGGCTAAGTGGTGAAGCACACCAGGGGACACATCAAAATGCTCATAGATGACCGACCCATATCAACAAGAGTGGTGATGTTCTTTATCGTGAGACATGACAAATAAATGACAAATAAACAACTGCAAGTTAAACACGCAATACGTTTTTGGAAAATGGCTAGTGGAAAACCGATGAAAAGAATAACCCGAAATATACTACAGATGCCAACAAAAACCAATGTGCAAGCGACAGCGAAACGGAGTGCCGTTGACACAGCGGATCAAGCCCAACTTGTCAGATTCACAGCCTGACCGGTGATCGATACCTTATACGGAAACAACAAATTGAAAATACACAATGGGATGGTTAAGGCTGGTACACATGCTTCATTTTGTCATTTCAAGCAAGAGAACATTAAGCGTCTTGTCATCATTGGCGTGCTATAAAACACGGCACCCAAATTACCATTTCTTGTTTTCCATTGGTATTTTTTTTCATATAAGCGTCTATAAATTATGCAGTGGTAATACTGCTGCATTGGCAATGCTGCACAAGCACAGCTCACAAAAAAACTCCACACATTTGTCAAGAACACAAATATATAGATGATAGGTGACATTTTGGCAATGGCCCTTCTATAAATAGTTCTGCATACCTTATTGCACTTGTCAAATGATGAATGATGGGCTGTTAAACTTTTAGCTGTGTGTCGTAAACATTAATTAATAGTGTAATACATTACAAGCAATTCAAAAAAATGGTCCATAGTTAAAAAAGGAACAATTATTTTGGAGAGTACCATATTTAAATGTAAAATAATATTTAAGCAGAACTCGGTTCTGTGTTTGGTTTCCACACATACACAGATCTGTAGTCCATCAACCAATCAGCTTTCGAGACCACTGATCCAAAAGCAGTTGTTTAATCATGCAAACTATGTACTAATTTCAACTTTCTGCTTCTCATCAGCAGTTATGCAAATGCTGCTGCATTAGCAGATATTATTCGCAAGGGAACTCCTAATAAACTACGAGCCTTTTGCCCATCCAAGGACGAGTGTATTTCAGTAAATCTGAAACTGGCAAGCGAAAAGCAGACCGCGACGTGATATTCATGGCTTTAATTCGTGTGCACTTTGTAAGTTCACGGTGACACAGACTTGATTCATTTTAAGGTTATAATCCCTTGTTCATCATGACGTCCTTTTTACTTCTATGTCTCAACAGCGTTACGGAGATCGCGTGACGTGGGGGTTCTGCCTTTGTAGTGGGGGTTGTGAGTTGACGCCGAGGAGGGGGGGAGGCGCCTCGCCCCCCCACATGTGGAGTGACGTCACCCGCTCATGATTATTAATGAGCGGTCCATGTGGAGTGACGTAACCTGCTCATGATTATTAATGAGGAGGGCTGGTCGATGTGGAGTGACGTCACCTGCTCATGATTATTAATGGTGGAGGGGGGGGGGTCCATGTGGAGGACGTCTCCTGTTCATGAGAATTAATGAGGGGGGCTGGCCGACGTGAAGTGACGTCATGCGTGGGACAGACATTCTTGGCTCATTATAGTAGTAAATGGGACTCCATTATTTAAGCCTATGGGTTCCCAATTTTTCGCACCTCCGATTAGCACGGTTGGCTACGGACAGTGTGAAAGAAGTTCAACATACATGAATATTTAAATGGTTCGTTTTTCATTTCTCTAATACGGAGATGCTTATACTATATATGCTATCTGATCATATATATGCGCTAATACCTGTATCCCTATATTGTTAATTTACAAATTGTATACAGATATGAAGTTTATAGCAAAAGAAGGCTCCTGACCTTTAGTCGTCGAATTTGCAGATTCAAATCGATAGCACATGATGGTTTTCTTAATCGTAAATCAAAAACACAAATTTTACGCAATAAGCAGAAAAAATGAGAATCTGCCGGTTACATAATGGTGACGCATCACAGCCCATCTTGTGCTTCACATTAATAATAAGATTGCTAATTGGAATGATCTCCTCCAAAAAAATCCAAAACAGAAACACCTTTACAAACAGTGTATCTACCAAGTGCACGTCGCTGCAAGTTACATAAGTCACACCGGAGTTTCTTAAAGGATTATTGTAACTTAGTGTTCAAGCCAAAGACTCCAACAGCATAGAGTAGTAGAGAAACAAGTCATGCTACAAGTGCCTCGTTAGTACTGCTCTCATACGTTTTTTCACTAATCTCCCATGCAAGATCCAATAATATAGAATGACAGCAATGGGGAAGAGATGAGAGATAATAGGCATAACCAATGGAAGCATACAATATTCATCAAAGAAGACTATGACAAAGTGAATATGTAATACATAATAGCTAAGCTGTCCATGTCAGTGAAATCAATAAAAAAACTCTACAAAAGCACTGAACCAATAGCAAATAAAAATTTTATTTAGTTAACGCGGCCACTACAATAATGAAAATCCTAAAACGAATGGGACATGCATTTTTAATGTTGTGGAGGACCCAGCCGCGGCACTGAAACGTACCTGGTTCTTTTGCGGTGGAAATACGGATGGAGACGTGGGCTCTTGTTTCACGGAATCAAAATCCAGATCGAGGAGGCTTCCTGTGTCTGCTCTCTTGGACAAGGGGACCTCAAACTGACAAATTGCATTACAACAAGTGACTAACCTTTCCAAAGAAAACACAATATATTTCTGTATATATACTGTACACACACATTCATCTTGCAATCATCATAATACAGGAGTGAAAAACATACAAAATGCTAAATAAAAGGTACAAATCAGACATTTTAAAATGCACTAACTTTTACAGCCAAGTGGCCACAACTTTCCATTACAGACCCAAATAATGTTTTCTATTGCAATACACTAAATCCATAACTATTAGCTGATGTGAGCAAACTCAGCAAAACATAAAACCCACAGAATCCTTATAAATATTTACGGGTGTGCTTGCGGTGGCAGCGTTGGGCATAAAGTTGTCATCAAAGAGGTTGACGATGGCCTCTTGTGCCATCTCCTTGCTGGGGGTGAGTTTGGGGGGTGGTGGGACCGGTGGTCCTTTCCGGCCCTGCTTTGAAGGACAAAACAATGAGAAAGTGGCACAAATTCACATTACACCTACATACAGCTGCACAGCTAGACAAAAGGGTAGCTTTGGGTAAAGTAAATGTAGAATAACGCGCATTTTTCACCTTGAACTAAATTAAGTGCAGGAATTGCATTAACGTGAAAGTAAGTGCAATAAATCCTTTGGATATAAATGTCTAAAATGTTCTTAATTTGGCAAGGGCATTTTGTACATGGGAGCTGTTCTATAATAAATAAAAAACTAAACACATACTAGTGATAGTGATCTTTGTATAAATGTAAAACATATATCACAAGGTAAAAAAACCTGCAGTAAAAAAAAAACATACATTTTAATTCTGACTTAAAAGCTTTCGGGACTGCAGGAATTCATATTCTTTAAGTCTTTCGGTAAATTCACGTAGATAGGTTCATTATAATGTAAAGTCGGTGAGCGGCCTCCACAGCGAACGCACTGAGGTGGCTATGTTAATGTGAGAGATTAGCGTGTTAACGTGAGAGATTATCATGTTAATGTGAGAGATGAGCATGTTAATGTGAGAGATGAGCATGTTAATGTGAGAGATGAGCATGTTAATGTGAGAGATTAGCATGTTAATGTGAGAGATGAGCATGTTAATGTGAGAGATTATCATGTTAATGTGAGAGATGAGCATGTCAATGTGAGAGATGAGCATGTTAATGTGAGAGATGCGCATGTTAATGTGAGAGATGAGCATGTTAATGTGAGAGATGAGCATGTTAATGTGAGAGATGAGCATGTTAATGTGAGAGATGAGTATGTTAATGTGAGAGATGAGCATGCTAATGTGAGAGATGAGCATGTTAATGTGAGAGATGAGCATGTTAATGTGAGAGATTATCATGTTAATGTGAGAGATTATCATGTTAATGTGAGAGATGAGCATGTTAATGTGAGAGATGAGCATGTTAATGTGAGAGATGAGCATGTTAATGTGAGAGATGAGCATGATAATGTGAGAGATGAGCATGTTAATATGAGAGATGAGCATGTTAATGTGAGAGATGAGCATGTTAATGTGAGAGATGAGCATGTTAATGTGAGAGATGAGCATGTTAATGTGAGAGATGAGCATGTTAATGTGAGAGATTAGCATGTTAATGGAAGATAGCAGAGCCGCAAGCTCTAGATCGGCGCGCGAAGGTGGCTGTGTGTGAGAAATTTGACCTGTTAATGTAAAATCGGAGAGCCGAAAATAACAACATCGGAAGGTGGTAGGTGGGAACATCACAGCCAGTTATGACTTAAACTGGTTGATAACATCCTTCCAATGGTTGCTCAGTTTGTACCCATCTTCTCGGTTGAAATTGTGCCTGTATATATGGATGGCTTCATGAACGAATCTTTGTTGATAGCCAGTGGGTTTGCAAAGTACCTTTGTCTTAGAGAAATCAATTTCGTGAGCCCACTGCATTAAAACAATGATCAACCACGGTCGAGGTATTGGTCCTACCGTGTTTCAGATCGGCCTTATGTTCACGACCGCTTATGTTGCGATGGAAATGTAGTTTTTTGTTATTTTCTTTGAACCTATCTACGCGACTTTACCTAAAAACCCAAAGAATAAAAACATACATTTTTCAACCATTCGATCCCAGTACCACACACTATCTTACCGCGTAATAAAATTTAAAGAAAAACTCTGTGAAATACTTTTCAGGTTGTACTGCGCGTTGTTTGGCGTAATATCCAATATTTATTTCCTCGTGCTTGAAGCTTCTTTAAGACGTAATAATAGAGTTTTTCCACTTTTTTTTCTGGCAACAAAACTGAAACCTTTTTTACAAGGATTCATCTCTGCATTAACCACAATACCTTCAGTCAAAATGCAAACAAAAAACATACTATGATAATATATAGTGCATTGTCCTTGAAACTGATTGGTCCACACCAACGGACGGCTTTCTTTTGAGCCTCGACCCAATTGGTGCTCGACCAGATGACGCCAAAAGGCGTACACAGTTTTGTTGCCAGAAAAAAGGGGAAAAACCCTATTATTATTATATTGTGACACTGGCAAAGGAGGTCTAATGATGTAGATTCTTTAAGACATTTAACTTAAAATGAAATTCCATACATGGAGCAACTCCAGTTCCTCAAGACATCGTGCCGAACAACGACACTCAGGCGAGTTGAGCGTGTTGCTCTGACTTCGTGCCAAATGAACACTGTGCCAAACAACCCAAGGAGCAACCCGAACTATACTTCGGACAGCTACGTCGCACTGCCGCCGTGCTACCACTCGGCTCAATAAAGCCGAATGCTAGCACGATGCGACGACATGAGTGTGACCTGCATGGGCGACTTGTGAGGGGTGGGGGCATGGGTGGGGCTCGGCGTCGCATCGTCGCTCGTTGGGCTGGTGCCCGCGGGCGGCTCCACGATGCTGGGGGGCGGCTCGCGTGTCTTCAGTGGCCTCGAGTCCCTGCCAGACACAAAATGCCTATTTGTCAAAATCATTTTGTAAACCATTTTTTTATTTTCCGAGGTAAGGCCCCACACACTGAGCTCCTATATCGCTCTTTTTTTCAGAAGCGCCATGACAACAAATGATAGCTCAACGCAGTGGCTTCATCACGTGGCAATTTCATCTCGGGCCAAATGCTCTAAACGCATGTTAATAAATGTGGAGGGGAAAACTGGAGGACCTGGAGAAAAATCCACGCGACCACGGGGAGAACGTGGTGGTTAACATCTTGCCACCGTGGTGACATTTCATCATGTTGCTGCTCTGTGGACTGAAATCTGTTGCTTGTAGTGTAAATTATCCTACCATCTGAACCACATATTTGACATTAACTGGTGATGTTTGTGACTTTAATTAGCATTGTCCTTTCTTTGGCAAGTGTAAATTGCATTGCAGCAGCATGTGATCGCTTACTGCATCACACTTGGTGAGCACAGAGACATCTCTGAGATTCTGGAGTAAGTTCAGGAAAATTTAGTGAAATATATTTATAACTTCTTCATTTGAGTTCTCCACATCCATTTTATTGCAAACATGCACAGCTAGAGTAGCAACCAACCATCACCACAACAACAACAACCCCTATAGCAACTGTCACAGCAACACTACAAGACACCACTGCAATAATACCACAACCACAAACAGCACAGCCCATTAGCCTCCACTGTTACAATGCAGAAGATGACCAAATCACCTGCAATGTCCCCCCGGTCTCATAAAATCTCAAAAGCTAAGCAGCCTTGGGCCCGTACAGTTACTTAGCGGGCGACGACTGTACATGAAACAGGAGTTGTAGGCCACTGCTGGGTAAGATCGTGGGCAACAGAGGGCAGTGCTTATTCTTCTACGTCTCCTCGCCTTCACCAATCCACACTGACCAGCATGAAGTGCAGTCAAATAATTCCCATGGCCTGCGTGGCGTGGGGAAGCCCTCATCCAGCAGTGGATTGACAAAAGACATGCACACTCCAATGAGTTTACATCAATAACCATAAACAATCACAATACCACTACAAGTAACCTTCCACCACAGTAACACAAACCACAGCTTAATGCCACAATAATGTTCACACCTATGATAGCAGTTATCAATGTAATTAATTAATCTGCTGCATGTTATGAAAAGTTCTGGAAAGACATGGTCTTAAAGAAACGGATTGCATCTAAGTTTGACAAAAATGTTCTTGCATCTGTGCTTTCATTGAAAATGTTAATGATCCCTCATGAATTATGTTGGATCAACCTACTTATCGTTGAAGCTGAGAGCGTATTCAAATCCCGAGAGAAGCAAAACGATGAAATATAGACGTCATCACGATAAATAATTAACTAGAATTGTAGTGGACAGTGGACCGAACATACGTGAAAGTACATTGCTAATTATATTTCATTATTTATAGCGGGAAACAAAGAACGTGCTATCTGAAATCACCAAATGCATAAAGAAGAAAAGGAAAATATATAAATGCATAGAATATAAAAGCATTTAAAAAAGAATGAGTATAAGTCGGAGAATACAATACACACACATTATTGAAGAATGAAAACAACAACAAAAAAGAAGTTGATGAATGATAATTCACAAACAAACTCACACTCATCTAATGTACGTATTGTCCATTTAAGATTCACTGATGATAGTCACTATTAACAACCCATGGCAATGAACAACAGGAAATGATTGAAGAGAGCTTAAAAAGAAAGCGGCAAAGTTCAGCTCAAGATAAATATCATCGCAATAAAAGTACAGTACTTTACAACAAGTTCACTAAATAAAAAGTGTGTACACCAGCATGCGATACTGAGTCGGGCCTGTAGATGGCTGGCAGGGTTATTGAATAACCCGACCTATACACCAGTCACGTGGTTAATGGCGACTCGGTTGAGGGTTGCTGTGTGTGACACCACGTGCTGTTGCATTTTTACAGATTACCACAATAAATGTGTTTCCCTCGATTTGGAGCACCTGCCCACGTCCTTCATTTTCAGTGTGCAAAATATTAAAAGTAACTGCCATAGGCCCACACCTGGAAAACACCACAGTGTATGCATAACTAGGACGATTACTGAAGGCCTATCAGGATCAAAATGATAAAATTACAGTGACGAGCAAGATAAGGGTGGAGTGCTTTTGGAAAACCAAATGGCTAATAGACGAACATACCAATGTGCCAGAAGAGGAATGTTTTTAATGCTGCAAACAGGAAATATGGCAGATAAAATGCGACAAAAAGCTGAACGAACACACAAAGAAGTGTGGAGATCATAGCTGGAGTTTGGGGGGGGGGCACGGGGTGCAATGGCCCCACTAACACTGGGCACCTTTATTAATTTATTTTCAGTAGTTTACAATAAGGATTTAAAATTTATTATATGCGCCCGCGATACCTCATGTGAGGGACAAAGCGAACCCCCCCCCCCACCCCGCCTCCCAAGTAAAAAAGTCAAACTCCGCCTATGGTGGAGATGATTCTAACTGGGAATTATACTGAGATAGAGAAACAGTAACACGTGGATCAGAGAACAAACACAAATTAGAGACACCATGTTGACTTTTAAGGAAAGACTGCGAACAGAATGGCAGCCAAAGAAGAAAACACACCAGAGAGGACGACCACAAGTGAAGCTAGCGCAAAGAGACCAGCTCAAGCGTGGGAGGTGGAGAGGCATTGCGAGATCGTGTGGAAGAGTGACCATGTGGGGATCCCTTCGTGTAGAACTGAAATAATAACGGCTAATGATGATAGTGAATGATTTAAAAATAATTAAGCATGGTGTGTGGATATTCACATAAGCATGCAACGTTGAAATATGATGCAACTGTGATTGTATGATCAACTAACTACAGCTTGAAAGACAATATAAGAAAACTCCTGAACACGTGGAGTGAAACGTCGCACATCATGGCCAACACACGTGGAGTGAAACGTCAGACATCATTGCCAACACACGTGGAGAGAAATGTCAGACATCACGCCCAACACGTGGAATAAAACGTCAGACATCATGCACAACACATGTGAAGTGAAACGTCAGACATCATAGCCAAGACACGTGGAGTGGAACGTCAGACATCACGGCCAACACACGTGGAGTGAAACGTCAGACATCACGCCCAATACACGTGGAGTGAAACGTCAGACATCATGCTCAACACACGTGGAGTGAAACTTCAAACATAATGCCTAACACGTGCAAAATTAAGTAATTTGTGTCGCAGTTCAAAGGTGAGAGCACTGCAAGTAGCAGTGATACGGCACCTGGGAGCTCCGTGGATGGAGAAGGCCTTGGTCGAGTGCTGGTCCTCCAGTTTCACCATGACATCGAGTAGCTCATGGTTCAGCTGACAGGGGGTACAAGTGTACACAAGCACAGCTTGGAAACACAATCAGTGTCTCATTGCATAAAACACCTTCAGTAATTCGTCCTCATAACTCGTGCAAAGTATGTTTATTTCCCTTTTCACATTTTTATTTCAATTTGGACTATTGAGAGTCAAGTGCCATTTTGGAGGATAGGACGCTTCGTCGAAATTTGTCCAGCATTGGGTGATACACTCCTCTCGAAGAGGAAACCATCACTCCTTGTTAGAGAACTGCCTGTAGAAAGTGGTATAACAGAATCACTTCTGAGATCCATTTAAGTAACATTTTATTGACACTAGAGGCACTGTACCTTTCCACTGTCATGTTCGTCGCATGGCTGCCAAATGGAATTCTCAGACCTGGAATTTTTGCCACATTAAGTGAAAATCAAATTTGGTACAATACCTGTTGTGCAGTTATTGGTGACCGGCCTGAGACCATCAACTAACTAAACTTGAGAACTCCGTTCAATCACGGACAGTTACCAGCTGAAACCTGGAATCCAATGCAGGCCCTCACGAAACTTCGTGATTTAGTTTATTTTATACCTACGTGACTTTACCGAAAGAACCAAAGAGGAAGGACATAACCTGTTCATGATTTTGATTTAAAGCTTTCGTGACTGCAGTGATTCATATTCTTGGTTCTTTCGGTAAAGTCACGTTGCAGTCGAAACGTCATGAGAATTTTATTGTTTTATATATATTTTATAATTTTATTGTTTCCCTTCAACGTGACTTCACCAAAAGAACCAAGAATATGAATCACTGCAGTCACGAAAGCTTTAAATCAAAATTTAACCGCCTCTACGGGGAGGGTTTCCACATAACTTTAAGATCCTTCAACAAACTCCGGGATAAGAAGGCTCAGTTGATCGAGTCTCTCACCTTTCTGAAGAGATGCCGCAACTCTGGGATAATACCAATCGCATTTACACTGACCTCTGCTGCTGTAACTTCTTCTAATGTGAAACGAATTCTTTTCAAAACTAGCTTTGCTCTTATCTCAGAGAAAATCAGCCTTATACGCACCGAACTAGATCAGTTAGACAAGACACTCTACAAATCACACTTATCATTGACGGCAACAATGTGCACATCGGATTGGGAACATGTAGACAATATGACTGCCTCTTCAGCTGCTACTATGTCGACCAAATGTAAGGACAACCTGATTTCCAAATTTAACCTCCTCTCCAACAAAAGACTGGACCCACACACCAAAAAGCTAGACGTTGACAAAGTCGTAATTAATCGCAGTAACAGTTCTATTTCCGATGGTCTGAAATCAGTTTTAGCTAAAGGTCTAAACTTTGCAGTCACACCTAAACACATACCAGTTAATGATATCATTGCCCAAGTAGACGTGGCTCTCAAGGGCCTGGGTCACATCGCTGCAGACGTAGCAAGATCTGAAATCACTGCAACCCTCAAAAACGCTAAGATGCCAGCTAGTAACCGCAGCAAAGATGAGCGTTTTGAATTATATAAATAAAAAAGAGGGATGACATTGTAATCCTCTCAGCCGACAAGGGCAATGCTACTGTCATCATGGATAAAATAGAATATAACAACAAAATTAAAGAATTACTCGACGATGGCAGCTATACAAAAATAAAAAGAGATCCCACCAACAGCCTCGTCACACAAACCAACAAAATAATTTCTGTTTCAACCGCATTAATTGATCAAACTAAACAGTTTTCTTTGAAACCTTCTGCTTCCAGGCCACCAAGATTATACGGCTTACCAAAAATACATAAAGTAGATACACCCCTTCATCCCATCGTCTCTACTATCAACTCCCCCACCTACAAACTAGCTCGTTTTCTGTCTGAAATCCTGCGGCCTTTCACTGGAAAAACCACCTCTGCGGTACAAAATTCTACTCACCTGGTATTGACAATCAAGGGTATTTCCCTGTCCCCAGACGACCTGCTTGTCAGTTTTGATGTAGTTTCCTTATTCACCAAAGTTCCTGTACCTGACACCATCGCAATCATTGAAGACTTGGTTCATCAAGGACTGAACACTGAGGTACCCCCCCTCGTGAGACACTGCTTAACCAATACATACTTCACTTGGAATGGAACTTTCTACAAACAAACTGAGGGCACCCCAATGGGCTCCCCCCTATCTCCGGTTATAGCCAACATTTTCATGGATAAATTTGAGACGCCATCCAGACTCCTACTCTGCGCCCAACCTTATGGAAGAGGTACGTGGATGACACTTTTGTCATCTGGCCACATGGCCGGCCTGCTCTAGACCAATTCTTCGACCACATCAATTCCATACACCCAGCCATCAGATGTACCATGGAAGTCGAAAAAGATGGCAAGCTACCTTTTTTGGATGTCCTAATAAAAAAGAGACCTGATGGTTCAATGAGCCACTCTGTCTACAGGAAAGCTACCCATACAGATGCTTATCTGAAACCGGATTCCCACCACCATCCTTCACAGAATAATTCTCTCATCAAGACTCTGCACCATAGAGCCCAATGCATATCCGACCAGGAACACATAGGCAGTGAACTCAAGCACGTACACCAAGTTCTTAAGGCTAATGGTTACTCCAACCATACAATCCGCAAAGCTATCACTCAAACCATGAAGAAGGACCCTCTTGAAGAGCCTTTCAAAACCATTGTGGGGATCACAAAAAAGATCTCCAAAATCTTTAATAAACACAAGATCCAGGTCCGTTTCAATACATTACATAAAATCCGTGATCTGGTTCCGTCTGTAAAAGATGTGATTCCGGACATACAGCACCCTAGTGTCTACAAAATAAGTTGCCTCTGTGGTAGTAGTTACATTGGAGAAACCAAACGACATGTCTCGGACCGCATTCGTGAACACAAAGCAGACCTTAAACACGGAAGGACCAACACCTCGGCCGTGGCAGATCACTGTTATAATTCAGTAGGCTCACATGACATTGACTTCTCCAAGACAGAGGTTCTTTGCAAGCCATCTGGCTACCATGAGAGATTCGTTCATGAGGCTATCCACATATACAAACACTGAGACAATTTCAACCGAGAAGATGGATTCTGGCTTAGCAATCATTGGAAGGATTTGATCAACCATTTCGGGTCTTAATTGATTGTTCATGCTTACAGTGGCTTTCAGACAGCATACATTAATTTTTCGTCTCCCCCCTCCTCTTTTCCGAAAATAGATGGACTCGTCCATCTAAACAAACTGTAAAATCGCTATCCGTGGTGCTAACGTTTAAAAATAAATAAATACAACCCGCCACTTCTTTCAAATGTTCTTGCCGTTGGTTTTCACACCTGATGACTGCTTGTGTTGCAGTCGAAGCGTCGTGAGAATTTTATTGTTTTATATATTTTATTATTTCTGTTCATGATTATTAATGAGGAGGTCTGGTCGATGTAGAGTGGCGTCACACGCGTTACACACTAACATTCTTGGGTAAATATAGTAGTAAATAAAACTACATACATGAAATTAATAAAGTAGAAGTTGAGTACCTGTCCAATTTCCTTGTGAAAATTCTCTTCAAGGCCAGCGATACTCTTGAATGTGTTCACATAAAACCCCACTCGGCTACAGAGAGGAATACAATGACATCATCAATTGGTAACGATCAATGAAACAACAAAGTACAGAGAAGATAATCCAAATTACAAAGCGATCCATATATAGATACACCGCAAAAATATTGAGAAATTAGATAGAAAATAACATTTTAATTCCCATACTTGGCATGTCTTGCAACGATCTTTATACACTTATTAAATATTTTAACACACTCCTGATTCATGGTCTCGCATAACCAGTCTAACTTGTTTACAGCATTTAATAATGTGTAAGCTGATGTTATTGACATCTAAATACAAGGGTCATTAGAAAATCAGTGGGGTATCAATGAATGGATCCACCTCTATAATAAACATCATGAATTTACAGAACGATAGTATTTACCCATTTAAGATACATAATCTCATCCAAGCTACTTTGACCAGGAGTTAGCTCCTACGAACCCTGCGTGAGCAACAATCCAAGTGCCTGCATACACCACTATTTTACCAGTGTGTTACAGGGTACGGTTTTGTTGATGGACATATTAGGCTTAAGCACAGAACAGACACTCAGATGCAAGGCAAAATGTGAGTGTAGCTTCTCCCTCCAGTACATTCAAGCGTTTCCAATTTTGTCCATTTGTTAAACCCACATTTTGGAGAGAATGAAGGACTCCAGTACTTCTATGATCAAATAAAGTTCCCACGGAGGAAAAAAATACTCACTAATTTCACATTTATTGTAACGTATTGAACTCGATTACATTAATGTGACGGAAAAAAGTGAAAACAGGACATGTGCCCCCACAGGGCAGGAGTTAATGCAACGTCTCTTGAGTCACACTGGGTTGGAAATAATGGACCAATCCAATGGGAGAACAAGCTGCAGGGAATGTCATTGTATTAGATATTCAAACATATGTGGCTCTGAGGCTCAAGTGCTTTAATGCACTGTGTCAGGGTACTGAGCCAGCACCTCTGAGTTCGTGGGTTTGAAACCCCAAGGCTGACAGGTTTAAAAAAAAATATATCACCTAGCCTGGAAAGTTTGCAACGTGAAGAAATTTGTATCTATGTATCCAGTCATTGCAGATTGCTTCCAAAGGAGTTTCAAATGTTGCCCTTGTGTGTAATGTGGCCTTCTCAGTTGTGGGGTCATGCGAGTGACAATAGACAAAACCATTTAAAATCTAAACACTCTGAGGTTTTGCCCCTGTTGAAAAAATACCAGTTTATTAAACGAGCAACGAACTCTAACACCTTTACTCCAGCTCTACCTGGCCAATGAGCCGAGTCCGTAGAGAGATTACGACCAATAAACAACAAAAGCAGTAATACTGGGAGACCCTGGGGAGAACTTGAAAGTAAAAAGTGATTTTATTTTCTTCATTTCGCTCTTTGAACATATTGGCAATTGTGAATATTTGTTGTCACCAGCCCTGGGCATGCAAAGCTGTCACACAAATCCAAAATACCAAAAATACCTGTTCAAAATCACCGGCAATTCCTCTTGCAAGTCATTGTTGATCTCCTCAAACACCTTTTGTGCCTTCAGGTAATCCTCTTCTGCCTACACCAAGATTATATTTGCACATCAACACATTTTACACCTCCAAAGACAGAGAGGCTTCATAGGTTCTACTGACTATTTGGTACAAACATTGCAATTTTTTTACCCAAGATTGTTTTCTATTTTTGCAATAACGTTCCAGTACCAGCTATGTGTTACAAAGTATAAATATATGCAAATACAGCTCATTAGATAAACTATTTTTCAAGTAATTTAACTGAACAATCTAAAAATGATTTCATCACCCTTCATAAGCCTGACCTTGACCATCTAAGCTGAGGCCAATCAAAGCCATGCTAGCTAGTCTTGGACTCCTCTAACACGAATCAAGATGGAATAGAGCACACCGTTTGAATTTGGGAAGTTGTATTTACCGTGTGCAAACTGGCATCATTGATTAAAACATCAGGTCATTGATGAACTTCAGGGAAAAGGCATGAACAACAAAGATTTTTTACATTTTCATGCTGCACAATGTACCACCATACACTACTGGAGTAAGAATAACGTTCTTTGTCAATCTACTGCTCGATGAAGCCCTTCCCATGCTGTAATGGTCATGAGGCTTTTTGACAATACTTCTCTACACGGATCAGTGTGGGCTTAACAAGGGAAAGGCCCAGAACTGGTTCTAATACCACCCACCACTGACGTTAGCGGTGGTCGTGAATCGAATTCAGGTCTCCCCGTTTGGAATGCACTGCAATAACTACTGTGCCACTGATCCACCTCTGCACTATCATAGGCGGAGTTTGACTTCTATATTTCGGGAGGCAGGAGTTCACTTTGTCCCTCGCACAAGGAATTGCACGTAATTAATTGATAATATTAATTGTTAACTACTGAAAATAAATGTATAAAGGTGTCCAGTTTGGAGGGGAACTGCCCCCCCCCATGCCCCCCCCTAAACTCCGCCCATGACTTCTATAAAAAGTTAAAATGTATTACAGACCATTGTGAAAGCTATACCGCACATCTTAAATTATAGGGAGGAAGGCAAAATACTCAGACACTTCTTCTGGTGACACGTGATTTACGTACTGTAATTTATAACCATTCTCTTTTGGTCATGGGGATTGCTTAACTATACTTCACCATGCTGACAAGTACGGGTTGGTTAAGAGCGTGGTAGGACCAGAACTCATTCGGATATCACTCACCGTTGGTGTTAGCCAAAGCCAAACTGTAAACTCATAGCACGGTGCACTAACCACTGTACTATGCATGTGACTTAACAGAGATGACTCTGAAGTGTACTATCTCACACACACCATAATGTGGGTTTCCATAGAACTCGGCCACCCCTCCATATTTACAGCACTTGCATTTCACTTGGCCAGTCAGAGAGCTGAGGGACAATTTTCAAAAAGCTACTGGAAGAGTAGGCAAGGAAAAAAAATCCAGCCAGATCAAGAGTGTGTAGAGCTTGGCATCTCAAGCATTTTACAAACTCATGAAGATGGAAAGTATTCTATGGCACGAAATGGAACATCAAGAAAGCACACCCCGACATTAATGCTGAAACTGCACATCACAGGAGCCTTCTGGTACAAATTGAACAAACATTCAATATGTTCGAGGATAATTATAGCACGCAAAGATTTTAGTCTCTTTGTAATCACCATGTCCAAAAAAGTAATCTGGGATGAGTAATAATTATATAATATAAAAAACACTGCTCAAAAGGCACCGCACATTCTAAGACAGCTTCAAGGGTTAGGCAAGGGCATGCACACAATAGAGGCCGGCACTGCTTAAAACAATAATGAATGTGAATGCAAATGTTATTCAGGACAACGAAAGGTAAAGAGTTGAAAATGGGACAATTTTTGAGGCACGATGTACAGAATGATCAGGGGGAAGACCGATGCATCACCTGGTTTTTGAGGAGGTTTGTCTGGGCAATGAGATGGGCCTGGATTTTTCCCTGACACCACTGAGGCGCAGCTTTTTCGAGCAGCAAGACCGGCTGACGGACGCAGACGACACGAGACAACAGAGGCGGCAAGGGGAGGACTTTACGATGCGATCGTGCATACACCGCTTGCCCATACTGCCGCCACAAAATCTCACTTGGAGCCCGAGCTTTGATTATACACCGAGTAACTATTTGTTCCTGGGTAGTAAGTGTTATTTCCTAATTGCTAATGCCTCAAACGTACAGAAAATGGCTATTATTCCCCACAAACTTTGCTTTTGTGACCAGGACAGTGATATTTTGAAATGTATGTATTTTCCAGAACATTCCAGATAGATTCAGTGCTCAGTAAACTTGGAGTAACTTCTCGAACATTCTTGAACTTTCCAGTAATATAAATAGTAGTATAAATACAGGGGCCTTAAGCCCACTATTTCAGTTTAGTTCCAGCTGCCTAAGTGGATACATATCTGCATTTTTCTGAGATGGCATCAAGAGGCTGCAAGCATCCGGCAGACGCACTCTGCTATGCCTTCGGACAATTTATCAAGACAAGAGCGTAAAAGTACTCTGTGGAAGCATCTGCTAAGATGTGCGAGGCCTACAAGGCATATTTCGGCATGCCTGTCAGGGATCAAGACGAACCCTGGGCACCTCATTTCACCTGCGAGCAATGCAAAAAAACTCTGGAAGGTAAGATGGGCAATTGTTGCTCGGAATTTTATGTTCTAAAATTAGTTTTAAAAATGTACATTGTAAAAGTTTTTAATTTTAAAATGTTTTACAATTTTCAATGTCATTGAAAAAAAAATTCATGAAAAATGTTGCGAGAATCTTTTACACATTGGTCATGGGTGAAATGTATTTTTGTAGGATGGTACAGAGGGGAAAAGAGAGCCATGAATTTCGCTATCCCAAGAATTTGGCGGGAACCCACTGACCATTCAAGCAATTGCTACTTCTGCATGGTGGACCCTTCCAAACGTCGGACTGGCAAGAATGCACCTGCTATCATGTATCCAGACCTTCCTTCATCCATCGCCCCAGTGCCACACTGCCATGAGCTCCCCATACCCACTCCTCCGGAGAGAGAACAGCTGTCTTTAGAAGAGAGCAGCAAGTTAGAGAGCGAGGAAGACGTTGTAGATCCAGATGACAATTTCAGAGGTGGAGCTGAGGAGAGAAACCCATACTACCCCAACCAAAAAGACCTCAACGACTTGATCAGAGATCTTGGTCTCACCAAGTCCAATGCCGAGCTTTTGACGTCTAGGCTCAAACAGTGGAACTTGTTGGATAAAAGTGTGCAAGTCGCAGATCAGAGGACGCGTCACCAACCTTTTTGCAGTTTCTTCACCCATCAAGATGGGCTCTGCTTCTGCCACAATGTGACCAGTCTATTCGAGGCAATCGGAATCGCCTGTAACCAGAATGAGTGGTGCCTCTTCATTGACAGCTCATCCAGGAGCCTCAAAGCCGTGCTGCTCCATAATGGTAACAAGTACCCGTCTCTTCCCCTGGCTCACTCGGTGCACCTCAAAGAGGATTACAACAGCATCAAGACCTTGCTGGATGCCTTGAAGTATGATGAGTATGGCTGGGAGGTCATCGGAGACTTCAAAATGGTGGCATTCCTGATGGGTCTCCAAGACGGTTTTACAAAGTTTCCCTGCTATCTTTGCCTTTGGAACAGCAGAGACACCAAGGCGAACTACCACAGGTGGGACTGGCCAGAGCGGACCAAGTTCTCTGTAGGGAGGAACAACGTCAAGTGGGAGCCACAGGTGGACCCCCAGAAGGTGCTGATGCCACCACTCCACATCAAATTGGGCCTTATGAAATCATTTTGTCAGAGCTGTAGATAAGGAGTCGGCAGCCTTCAAGTACCTTCGAGACGTCTTCCCTAAGCTGTCTGAGCAAAGGTCAAAGCTGGTGTCTTTGTCGGACCACAGATAAAGAAGATCCTGGAGTGCAATGAATTCCCCAAGAAGCTCACTAGTAAGGAAAAAGTGGCTTGTGACAGCTTTGTCGCAGTGGTTCGTGGATTCCTGGGCAATCACAAGGTCGAAAACTACGTGGAGCTGGTTGAAAATCTGGTGAAGAACTACGGCACAATGGGCTGTAGGATGTCCCTCAAAGTCCATATCCTTGATGCTCATTTTGATAAATTCAAGGAGAACATGGGAGCATACTCGGAGGAGCAAGGGGAGCGCTTCCACCACGATATACTGGACTTTGAACACCGCTACCAAGGACACTATAACGAGAACATGATGGAAGCCTACATTTGGGGGCTGATTCGTGAAAGTGAATTACAGTATAATCGTAAATCTCGAAAAACTACTCACTTCTACATCTTTTGTAGTAATTTTTGTATTATTTGAGTATAAATGCATGTACATTTTTATTCATGTCGGTTTTTTCTGACTTCATGTGAACGAAAAGACACAAATTTGCCCGTTTTCTCATTGAAAATAGGTCAATTTAAAAATATCACTGTCCTGGTCACAAAAGCAAAGTTTGTGGGGAATAATAGCCATTTTCTATACCTTTTAGGCAATTCAGAAATATCACTTACTACCCAGGAACAAAAATTGTATTACATAGTGTCACTAAGGGGAGCAAAAATAACAAAGCAAATCCGGGCATAGTTGTCAAGACTAAAATCTAAATGCTATTCATCAATATTAAATATTTTTGGATTCCTGATAAGCCACATCCATGACCTTTTTCTTGAGAAAGCCAACACGTTTAAATTAAAATGAGTAGTCTGCAAAGGATGGCATGAGCACATTAAAATTATTTTACAAATGCTACATCTTGCAAAGGCTACAGGTAGGACCAAGACTCCGGTGGTTTCTACCTTAGCTACTTTGACATCTTCCTTTTTCTTGGTGCCCTGCAGTGACTCAAGGTGGTGTCTGGCACTGTCATAGTCCACCAGCTTCCGTCCACGTTTGGAAATGCGTGACTTCAAAGACAGACATAATAACAGCAAGTTAGTTAATTACACTTTACATCGCAAAACCTGTGTCATAGCTCTCCAATGTGTTTCCTGGTTGTAATGTGTGTTGGTCGGCAGGATGTCTGATGTTTCACTTCACGAGCTGAGAGCGTTTTCAGTTCCTTAATAATGAACAAAATCTCCCAGGATGCATTAGACAAACGTGGGACATGATGCCTGAAGGATTGAGAAAAAGTAACTCCCAGAATCAAGTGGCAGCTCCAGCACGTAGAACGAGATGCGTTGGACCATCGTGTTGAGCAATGGCTCGCACAAACCTTCAAGTTTATAATAATTGTCTTACTAGAGGTGGAGGCAATTCAACAAGTGGAGGAAATGTAACATGAACGGTTCGTTGATCCGTGGTACCTTGATGTCGGGGAACTGTCCGAGGTACGTATCCAGAGTGAGGAGTGAGTGATCAACCAGCTTCTCATGAAAATCACCCCAGAGCTCATCGCTGTTCTGTACAAGATGCACGTAAGTGCACAGAGTCCACACGATTTACATAGCCAACATTAATAAAGTCAACATCATTTTAATAGTCAACATTATTTTAATGAGGCCATGGAGGTCAGGTTTGCTGCGCCATGTTTAATCTTATCATCTTTTCCCCTTAGTGTCCGTGCATACGAATTCAAAGAGAACACGTGCAGCATTGTAAATATACATAAATAAAGGGACAGTAAAATTATTTTGACAATGATTCAAAATGTTTCATTGCCCAGCCTAATTTTAGACTAATATGAGCTCTATCTATATTCGCGTGATGATATTAATGTTACAACAATATACTGAGAAATTATAAAAATATGTATTTACTCAACTGATTGTGTAGAGTTATAATAGCTGATTAACGAACTTGTTCACCGCTTATCATATGCACGGTATACATAACCATTGCACTAAGTGGCTGTGGATTACCTGTGAAATATCCTGTACATCTTCTTTTCCATGCCAGTCAGGTTCATAAATATCTTGAAGGGTTTCGTTCATCTTCTTTGAAGATTCATGCATTGCTGCAGGGACATAATCCACACTGAAAACTTGACAGCAATAATAATTAGTTGTTTATATGGAGCACCCTCAGAGTGCTTTACACGTAATAAGTGACTTACATCACATCTCAAACTTTTGAAAGGTCACCCCTCTTGGCAGTTGTCCCAGTGCTGCACAAGATGACTCATTCATCTGCCAGTCGTGAGCAAGGATTGGTATTTGTAATTTCAGTATAGACCTTTCCTCGATAACATCAGATATATGACATGTTTTTTTTTGTTAGCTGCACCGCATTGTCTAATTAAGAACAACTGCCTCAAGACAAAGAAATACCTTGGTATTATTTTACCTGGTGACCCAAGAGAATTCATTTGTGTGTGTTACAATGAATGAGAAATTTGCAGGAATTTGTAACATCGTGGTATTTACCTTTTACAGCCGTAAGGTAGCCTCGTAGTTCCTTCTGTAATCGGCTTCCCTCGTTCTATCCAGGAGAAGAAAAAAAACACTGAATGTGAGCACACCAAACTCTCAAACCAACACCCCATAACCATTACACTGTTGCACTTTTAAATGATAACAGTTATACTACGTCATCCGTTTGAAATGCACTTTTAAATAACAGTTATATTACGTCATCCGTTTGAAATGCATTTTTAAATGATAACAGTTATATTACGTCATCCGTTTGAAATGCACTTTTAAATAACAGTTATATTACATCATCCGTTTGAAATGCATATATTACATGGGATGTTTATTCATGCCAATACTGTAAAATTACTTAAGACGCAGTTACAAATTTTCAATCTTAAGCCTCAGCGCTTTCAACATTATTTCTGCCTTTTTTAATGTACAGAATTAGCAGGTCACAGCAACACAATTACATAGAGGAATCATCCTTTTGGGCCATCCATTAAATGCATTACCTCAAATCAACAACAACACAATTAAAAGTAATGAAGTTAAACGGTCCAATCATGTGTTTGTTTAGAATAAGCTCATGCCAATATGTGGTAAACTAATTTATCCAAGTGCTTAATGTGATGTGACAAGCGTGCTGCCTTGCCGTGCTGCCAAGGTGTGTGTGTGTGTGCATGTTTGCTCAGGCTGCATTCCCTGTGTTTCTTGCCGTGAACCCGATGTCATCACATTTATAGAGCCGAGCAATCAAAAGCCACTCTTATGCAATTACTATAATAAATGCTTCTGACTGATGAGTTTGGGAGGGGTTGAGTGTTGAGTTTATTTCACCTACTGAGATTTCGACCATCTGCTTTGAAGACAAGAAAGTGCGTGACCATGTTAATTGTGGTTTCTTTGAAAATGTAAGATATTTTTCTTTGAGTCAAAAGTCCTATTAATGCACGGTGGGGGGCAGGGGGGGAGTGCTCGAATTTCCTTTCTATACTCAAGTCACGTCCACAGTCCTCACATCTCATTCCACCGCATCATCCTTCCATCTCACCCCAGCTCTCCCCTCTACTCCTTCTGCCCTGCATCGATGGCACCTTCATAGCCCTTTTCAATGCATTCGCTTCGTTTATTCTCAAACCGTGCGCAAATTTCTAAATCTCTCCTTCCTAAACTCCTCGATATCATGAATATCCCCACCGCTAACTTCTGAATTCCTCCTCGTTTACCATTTAGAGATATTCCCAAATTCCAGATATTCCAAACTTTCCATATTACTTAACTGCCTATTTTAGCAAGACCCTCCCAAAGAGGACACAATGGAAACAAGGCCACAGAATAGCTATGCCGAAACCAGGAACTGGCATATTTTGCTATTAATATATTGTGTGTACTTTTTCATTGCTTATTTTAAGAATGTACAATCACTGCTGTCCCACATTTAGCTGTGATACATACATACTGTTTGTTGAAGTTTTGCACTTGTTCTTCAAACTGTACGTCCTTCGTCTCATCCGCTTTTCCCAACTTCTGCAGGACCTGCAAAAAAATGTGTGTTACAGCACCGTAAAAAAACAACAGGCTATTTTTATAGCTAAACTTACAACGGCACTTAAATTGCAACTTTTAATTACTAATCACGATTACATAATTGCATTTTCATTAACCTTTGAAAGAAACTAAAGAGCCAGCAGCCGTTACCTTTAATGACACAAATATTCACACTCCTAATTCATCATGCGACTAGACGTGCCTTTCAAATGCTCTTACGATGCAAGAGATCTTGCGATTACCTCCCCCCTCCCGCACAGAATTATGTACTTGATTAATAATGCTTAGCAAATACTTTGATTACATTAGCCCTCAAATCGATGTTTTATCAGGCAGCATTCAAGTCTGTTTATATTAAATTGATGGCGTAAACACGTGACACACCGTTGCCAAATTCGATTACAGTATGCGGTTTGTGCTTGACATTGGTGAACTCTTACAGAAGTGTGCCTGCGCATGCTAAACACAGCAATGTATAACATGTCTGTATCAAGTCAATCGTATTTTAACCTTCATCAATGACACAATAATTCATCTCTTCCAATTCCAATTTTATTCCTCTATCAGCACAGTATCTATGGCATGACATAATTGTACAGGCTACCAATCAATGCGCTTTTAGAGCCTTGTTATAAAATACGTCTGGTACAGCGAAGCACTCATGCGCTACTAGCTTGTTTAAATTCTTGAATACCATTAGTTATTTTCCTTTACACCGGAGAGAATCGGGGGGCCACATACAAATTAACGCGTGAAACCACGTGTAAATTTGCCTTGATTCTATTATCAACATAAACATGTTGACTGAGAAGGATATTTGACTACTCTCTCAGTTGTAACTTATCCTTTACAAAAGTAAATCCATTTTGCAGTCGGCCTTGGTCTCAGCCTTCAGGACTGGTCTTTCCTCATTAACGACTTGCCTCTCACACTTACTCGATTGAGAAAGAGTAATTCAGCCACCATGGACCACCACCCACTGTGTATCTGAAATGCGAAGAAAAAAACCAACACAACGGCGGTCCATGGCTCCAGGTTTAGGAGGCAACGCAGTCTGCTCCGCGTTTTCCGTTGTCAGGCGAGACTGCGTACACGCGGGTTAATTGAGAAACTGCAATGTGCCGGCTGTGGCTTCACCGTGTTCCTCCAAAAAATATTTATCCTGAAGCAGAAGATTAATGCTGGATACAAATGTGACTTGTAGCTTTGTTCCTCACCTGTATATTGATATTCACTGTTAATGTGCCATTTTATTGAGGGTCTACTGTGCGTTATCTGAGACCGCTTTGTTGTTATTTTTGCTGCCTTGCCCAAGCTTGATAAATGGGATGTATATAATTAATTGTCTGATTTATTTAGATTAAGTGATTTGCTCACCTTTTTCTCTATTTTGCACTCCTATTGTTTTTTTGTATTTTTTTGCTGTTGTAACTTGCTGACCCGCCCACACTGGACATCTGTGATGAAGAGCTTCATAGCTCATCGGATTCCCCCAGTCGAAATAAAGATTCTGATTATGAAGAGGACCTATGGACTCACCCAGAGACTCAAAAAGAAACCGAAATGAAACTCAAATGTGCTAACAGTGGCTTCATCCATCAGCTCTTTCTCCACCAGATGGGCACAGGCAGCCCACTTTGCTTCTCGTGAAAATTGCTGATGGAAGCACATTGTCTTTGTGTTCCAGTAATCAATTAGTCCATCTGTATGAGTCATTATCACATGAGACTGGAAACGTCCGAGGTGGATTTTGTTGTCGCTTCAACCTGGAGCCACGAAGTATCACTGGTGATACAATACGCATCAAAAGTGGGCCGATTTGACAAGCATTGTCAATGCCTATGGCAATGGACCTCAACCGAGATCTAATGACAACTGACATCTCAATGGTATGCAAACGGAGCATCAATTTACTTTTAACTCAGGCAATTTGTTCATCACATATCTCAGTATTGATCGGCATGGGCATCTACGCAGTAGGGGCTGCCAACATTCAATGCACTTCTAACATTCAAAATGTAAAAAAATGAATGTGCTTCATTACTCATTCACAGATAAGGAACTACCTCATAAACAATGACACATGGTTAGGTGACGAGGACAGGAAGTTGCATAGGAAACACAAGCAAAAAGGCATTTTTATTGCCATATTCTCACTTCCATTGCCATCACCACCAGCCACGCCCAAGTCTCCCTACAGCGACAACACACATATGATCCCTGGCACGCCATTACCTCCCCCTGCTCAAGTCCAGGTTAAAGACCTTCCACCTCCCTCTGCTTACGACCGTTTATCTCTCAGTCTCTCTGTGAACATTCCTCGCTCACGTGATTTCTGTTTTGCTCCGTTTTGTTTAACTGCAGCTTCCAACTGCGTTACCCTTCTGTTCCCGATCCCCTTAATGCGCACACTCCTCCAGCACATAATCCTAAATTGTACTGCACTTCTATGGTATTCTCCTCTTCAGCAAAACGGCCACCAATTCCAATAACGAATGCAAGCACACGCACTCACAAGGTTTCCTTTCTTCTCCATCATTGCTCCCCCACACGTGTTCACGCTTTTGTGCAATGCCGTACCAATAAAATGTGGGTTCCCAATCGTCAACATTCGTGTGGGGTAGAAAACCCGTGGATTTGGTCATGAGAATCCCAATAACGTGGCATTTCTTTGGCTTTGTTTTTTTTTTCTGGATGGTATAGGATAAAGTATGCGATTGCTACAAGCTGTGACACTTTCCTTCATCTCGGTGTTTAATTATGAAACGTGCAATCCCCCGTGAGCCAAACTACACGGTGTTTGTCCATGAAGGTAACATCCATCCATTATTCAAGAATTATAGTTGGACAGCAGTTTAAGCTCGGTCGATAAAACTACACGCAAACACTTGGTCGTGTGATGATATGATCGTTTGAGTGTCATCCCTTTAAACCTCCCACGTGTCCGCAATGACGTTGGCAAATCACATTGTATGGAGATGAGAGACCCAGGTATTTGCAAATTCATCAAATGCTTCTGTTATGTGCTTTGAAAAGCACTCGTTTGGTTTTTAAAGGTTGAAGCACATTATATAAGGAAAACGATGCCTGCTTTTCAACCACACAGTTCATACTGCTGTACGTTGATAGTTGTTCAATAATGGATTGCTTGGATGGGCAAACCACCATGCAAGCTTGCTTGGGCTACGTTGTCAGCAAAGGGCTATCGGTGCAGCAATATCCATCATTGCTCTGTCTGTCCTATGCTTCAACCTCGATACTCCCACTTTGACCAACCCGCACAGCGTGGGGAGGCCCTCTCTTACATGCACAGGCACAAAAGTGCATTGATATACCTTTACGGACACCCCGTGGACATGGCACACGCGCATCTCACCATGATGACAGAGATTAACTCCCCCAGGTTGCTAACAGGGGCATTAAAGCAGCTCCGCTTCTGATGGAACCTATGGATTGTATCCAAAGGGGTCAAGTAAGGAAGCGGTGTGAAAGGCATGCACGTGTAAAAATAACGGCAGTTACGTCAGCCGATTGGACTCCGTAAGTATGACATTCAATCTATGGCTTCTCAGATTGGATTAGTGCATACCAACACTAAGATACGCAAATAACATGACCTGATGGCGTATTTAATACAAATAAATTACAGCGTGTCCTCATAACTGTACGTAATCACCAAGTATAATACACCATCGACTTAATTTCTCTTTGGAAGAATGGGGAGATGCCACGTGACTAGCAACAATAAAAATGCAATGTTTGGCCCAACATTGGCATGAGGTTGGAACCGTTGGTCCAACATTGGCCCAACGTTCCATGTTTACTTGGAAGTAGCCAAAGCCGTAGGGAGAGATATTCCGGATGAGGTCTGTCGAGTGTGGAAATATGTTCCAGGACAGACCGGCTGAAATTAACGACTGAATACACAGGGTGATCCTCATTATAGATATCCCACTAAAATAAATGTGGAAAATTATGGGGAAAATATTTCAATGCATTCCATGTCACCACCCACCAATCTGACAATACAACATGCACGTAATGTATTCCGCCGTAAGATATGGAGCCATCGCTTCCCCAATATTCAATCACCTGTTGATAAGTGGGTCATCAGAAATCAGTGGGGTATCTACAAATGGATAACCCTACAGTACCGCAAAGCAGGTTCTCGGTGGAGCTGCGGCGCGGTAGCTCGCCAACTACACCCCAGTTCGATTCCCAGCCGTGGCCAACATCAGTAGCGAGTGATATCTATAAGAGGTCAAGGGCTCCCTCCTCTTTCACCAAACAACACTGATTAGCGACATGGGTGGGGTCGGTGTCTTCTTCTTCCAACAATGGTTTTCGACAAAAAGGTTGTAAATTATTACTGGATGTAGTATGCAAATGTTTGGTAATATTACTATCCACAAGAGGCCACGGCGTGTACAATGCAGGATATATAATTATTTGCAATATACCGTACTCCTTATTCATTCATTGCAGTGCATCGTAATCATAGCAGCATCGTACAGAATTTGCCATTGGGAATCGCCAGGATGAAAGGCCAGCCGTCCGCCACACGTGCAGCAAGACGGCGATGTTGGAATGAGTCGAGCGCATACGAAACATTTAATTACGATCACGGGGAATTTATTCATCTGTCCCAACTCCGTGGCGTAGCGCGGCGTTCAGAATGCACTACTTAATCTGCTGCTACAGAGCAGAATTAATTTAACAAACAAATGCCACCAAATGGTAACACTAACATTGTTTCAAATCGACGCAAAAAAAAACCAGGTGCGTGTTATTTAGCGCAGAAACAGCTGGGAGAGAGTAAGAGCAGCATTTTGTTCCTTTGTGCACATCACACCCCACGTTTGCTCCCGTGCACTCGTTCGTTCGCGTTCCTCGATTAATTCTTGCGAGTAAAAGGCGTGCCCCCACCCCCACCAACACCACCACCACAACCCTCTCGACAAACACGACAGCACTGGCCACGTCGTCCGCATTGGTTCACAGCTTGCAACAATGCGAGTGCATTCCATCGGTGGCATTGTTTCCGCAAATTGGAACAATGCGGCAATCTACACTAAACACGGGCGCTTCTCCCGGTGCGCATCACCACTCCGACGCGCGTGCTCCCCATTCATTAAGCCGCTCGCTCGTTCGCTCCTGGATTCGTTCGCGTAATGATGGTGCGCATCCCTCCGCACACGCGCGCGAACGCATAGGTCACGCACATACACACAAGGTGTTGGCTGCTGCCCGGCCTGTACCTTCTCCTGGGCTCTGGTTATGCGTTTCTTCGCGTTTTTCGCGAATATGCCCGTGCTGGTCTTGCCCGGATCCGCCATGACGACTCCTCCTCCACCTCCTCCTCCTTCTGCTCCGCTTCCCCCTTTATTCCTGCACGGCGGCGGGGGCTTTATTTGTTTTGTTTAATTATTTACTCCGAATGGAATCGCTTCTTATCGATCCACGGCCGGATCGGGCATTAGCGAAAAGCAAATTGTTTTGGGACGCGTCGACAGCTCATGCGATGGTAGAGCCACGTGACTATAGCAGTCACCCTCCACGTGTTAATACGAGTAGGTCCCGAATACTTACGCCGTCTATATAGCCTTTGAACAGGCTGTCGGTAAGCAGTGCTCTTAGCGAACACTTAAATAAAGGCATAGATGCTAGCTCTGGCCATAACCATGCCCGGCCGCCGTTGTCTCCCCCGCTGTTGATGTTTGACACACACCACGACAGGTAGTGATTTTAATGCCGAGTCAACCTATGCGAGGTCCAGGGCCGGTGCAGATGTTCGCCGCTGACGTTAGCCGTGGCTGGGAATCGAACTTGGAGGGATCGGGTTTGTAGCGCAGTGCATTCCCGTAACCATTACGCCGCTAAGTTTTCCAGAAATACAAATGTAAGTGACAGCATAGTTGCGTATGCCTAGGGCAGCGATTGAGGGCAGACCCACATCAGAAAGAGCCAAATCAAAAAGAGAGCAGGTTGTTTGTAGTGCTTTAGAACGCCGAACTTTTATAATTAAATGTAACACTGCAATGTGCCCCATAACGTTTTTTCAATCGGTGAATGCTGTCAGCTATGTATGGCACGGTTCAGAAACACCACGGTCAATAATGATAAATACTGTGATGGAACATAACCTAATACTTGCGCAAAGCATGGAGAGATACATGCCTGAAATTACATTGAGAGACAGAGGAACACACGCATCGGAGAACGTACGCAATTTAGGGACATTATCCTTTAAAAAATAAATAGGTCCCCGCTGGAAGGGATGGTAGCCGTAGGTCAATAATAACGGAGTGGCAGCTCAGGAATGGAAGGGGTTCCTTAGGACTACCACCGACTTGGGAGATTGAGTGCCAAGATCAATTCGTGTGCAGGTGCTGTATGGATTGTTGCATCACCGGATCGTGAGAAGTGTCAGCGGCTCGGCAAGGCCTTCATCCAGCCAGTGGATTGATCATGACTGATGATAATTAAATAAGAGCATTTATATCAGTTGTTCCAACTGATTCAGTCGGTAACTTTTCGTGTTGTTTGCCGTCCTTCCCCCGTACCTCTGATTCGTACGGTTGGCTTCGTACGGTGCGAAAGAAGTTCAATATGCATATAAAATACATCAGCAGCCACAATCTATATTTATTATTGGATGATGGCCGTGTTTCATGGTCGTGTAATTTTAGTCTTTCAACAGTACATCGGATAGTTTCCCAGATAATTACGCTCTCAAACCACAAATTAAAGATAATTAAAACATATGCATCAATAACAAGCCACGAAGATAAATGTGTCACGCATGTTAATCGAACAATATTCAGTTTATCACGGGGCTGTATACATCGTGACAGCACCTCATTAACGACAGCGAGGGCATCTTTATCAGAACAAATCGTTTTTTTATTTAACACGGTTACATCATTGTGATGTTATTCAGAGTAGTCCAATTATATTTTGAATAACTTCGTGGCAATTCAAACCATACAAACATATTTAGGTTGCAAATAAATTATAATTTTAAGACATTAAGAGTGGGAGTCGCTGTATAACATCGCGTTTTGTGCTGTAAATGAAATTAGATCACAAGTAATTACAAATATTGTGCTCGTTTGACTACAAACTCCAAACGTTGTGCATATTATTAAATGCAACAGTGTCAGTTATTCATCACTCTTGTGGAATTCCCATAGCCCAATCAACGAGAGCATTAAATTAAAACTCTCCTTTGTCCATTACACTGCTTTAATGCAAATTCTCCAGGCAACCCAGGAATTTGGGCCGCTGCACACTTCCCGCCCTGCCTCCAAACATGAGCTGGGGAAACAAAACATACGAGAGCAATAGTATCCATCACCATCATCACTAACCATGATCAAATCCACTGCTGAATGAAGGTCACCACAAGCTGACATCGTCTCACATGGGTTTGCAACGCAACAATCCATCTATCTCATACACATCGTCACATATCATTGCCCCATCTTCTTTGTGGACGTCCTCTCGTGCATGTTCTTTCCTTTGTATGTTGAACTCCTTTCGCAAGACCTGGCAACCCGTGCTTATCGGAGGTGTGGGGGGGGGAGGTCAAGCTAAACACAAAAATCGGTTCTAAATAAATTTTAACTTGATTTGCAGCTTTCGTGATTGCAGGAATTACTCTTTTGTTCTTTCGGTAAAGTGACGTAGAAAGATAATGGATTAAATAATAGAATACGTTTCGATTGCAACACAAGCAATGGTCATCAGGTAGAAAATAAACCTAGTGAACTTAGAAATACAATGCAATCCAACACAGAAAGTCAGTACCTTACCTGGTTGATTACGTTCTTCCAAACATTGATACATTTGAGACAAAACACAGACACGGGGACACACAGAGGTCTGTGTCAATGTTGTGTCTCTGTGTTGTCTCTCTGCTTGTGTCCCGTATTCGTATTCTATCTAAAGAAATTCGTTTTGAATTTTGATGTAAAAGTTCATAGGTCCAGTGGCATCCTAATATCAGAAGAGCGTTCCAGACGGCTGCAGAAGCGCATCTGAAAGTGTGCGATACGGTGACCGTCTTTGTTTGTTGGTTCGCCAAAAGCTGCTTGCGAGGATGACCGGAGTCCATGTGAGGTTTATGCCTACTGACGAGACCACCAAGGGTATTGTGGTTCGTTTGCGGCAAAGCACTGTGTGTAATGAGCGCGACCTCATAAAACAGGTGACGTTTCGGGCAATGGCCCTTTTCACAGCACATGGAAAGGCCAGAGGTAAGAGTTATCGTCATCCCTGCGTTTCACAATGCAACAAGCCACCAAGCTCCTTGCACATGAGCCGGTCTAACTGCTCCATCTTCACAGCGGTCTTTTTTTTATTTTAAGGCAGTTATTGGGAAATATTGAGCTTTTTTGTAATGCTCGTACACCACTGCCAATGCAATACCACCAAAAGTTAACATTTCAGTACATGTTTGCTGTTACACAGAAAATGGACACAAGTACCTGCTAGATGCATACACAAACCATGACATAAATCAAGCATATTATAACCTATGAAAACTGAATACAAACCCGTTGTCTGCAGTCTCGCTCTCATGAGTAGAAAAAATTCACATTTTAAGTCTTATGGCTGTTTTGTTGTTGTTGTATGTCAAGTTTTGATCGATTGTGGTCGGTCTCAAATCAGGTCACAGCTCTTAAGCTTCAACATCTATTCTTTAACTACCACTTTGGCTGGAATGGAAAGTCAAAGAGTTCATATACTGTTAAATACAGGAAAGCCTGCACCTGCCTCCTGACAGTTTACCTATATGATCACGGCCTCAAGAGATGTATGCCCAGTTATATATCCAAGTAGTGGAACTGTTCAAGGTTAAATTGTCATATTGGAAATATGAAGAATGATTGATACATGTGTATGTTGAACAAGCTCATTTTTACATTGTAAAATTTACTGCACAGAATAAATGTTAGATATATGAAGTTGTTCAACCCAACTTTAGCGAGAAAAGTATTTTTACATAAACTTTAGTCTATTTCCACAGAACTCTGACTGTATGAATACAAAACCTATTTTACATTAGATAACTGAAGCTACCAAAGATTTCCACTTTACAAAACCTATTTTACATTAGATAACTGAAGCTACCAAAGATTTCCACTTTGCCAACCATCATCAGCCATGATCTATCCACTGCTGAAGGCCTCCCCAAAGTCATTATCATCCCTCAAGTCTCAAAATGCAATAATCCATCAAGCTCCTGCACACGAGCGGATATCATTTCTCCCATCTTCACAGCGGTCAACTTCTCGGGCATTCCCTCTCCCCCATGCGTATGTTTATGCGGGTTGTCTTAGATGAGAAAATGGTCTAGTTTACATGATTTGTAATAGGACCAAGTAAAGTTTACAGCAAAATCCATTTCTTTACATGTAAAATGAAGTCACTGTAAGTAGATACATTACTTTTGTTATGGTGAAAAGTGTTCTTGTGGTCTCATACAATTAACATTTTCAAATAATGATCAATTTACGGCTTTGTGAAATTCACACATACAAGGCTTAACAATGACTGAATATTTAATAAGCAATATTTTATTATCTTACAACAAAACATGGGGAATAATGGCAGGTAAGCCACACTATTCATTAACTTTACATCAATATAAATACTTAATAGCAGATGGCCAAACACAAAGTAGACGAAATTCAATACGAGCAATTGCTTAGCTAAGCTGGACTTGGTTGGGTTACTCCTGGTGTCACTGGATGCTTAATGTGTTGTTTAAATGTTAATTAGTTACATTCAATTACAAGTTACTCTTATTAGACTTACATATTTTGACAACAATGTTCAATTTCATACTAAAGACAATCTGTACAATGATGTGTACTGCTATGCACAAATACATTATTAATAACCCTCGTATTTTTCAAGTGAACTTAGCACCTAATTGGAGGCACATGTTGGCAGGTGTTAATTTACACAGAACAATTTTTTGACCCATTAGAGGTTTTTTGGGTGAGATCATGTAAATATATAAATGTCGTTAAACCCCACCACCACCCAACACAGCCAACTAGTAAGGGTTGTTACGTAAACAGAACATGGCAATTTGTCACCAGTATAGCACACCGGTGTGTTGGAGAGCCAAGCCACAACATTTACAATCTGAGTACGACGTTTTGCCAGTAATGACAACTAGCTTCATCAGGCGACAGATTTGTGACGTTTAGTCAAATATGGGTTATAGCATACAAATCGAAGTTGTGGGAACATTTTTACTAGATTTAACGTCCAATGTTTTTCTGGTGAATATCACCAATGTGGAGGGCATTTAAAAATGACAATTTAAAGTTATGGTTCAGTGGTGACGAACATATGCTTCATGCATTTATTCAAGCACCTTCAACAACTAATTATCCAGTTGACCCTGTGTAATTGCAAAATCCTTTAAAATTAAACGAGCAACAGGCTTCAAAGTTTCATCATAGAATGATGTGGAGCGTTTTCTTATTTTGGATAGTTAACATAATTTTTTTCATAAACGTTCACATACCTTCGTACTAATACACCAAATAAATAATTGGCATAACCTTCCCTTTTGACGTAGTACCTACTGTCTCACACTGTGGTGATTACATATTCAGCAGTGGAGTGGGGATTACTACTTCGCAAAGCGTATAGATTTAATGCGCCGAGAGG